GCGACCGGGCCTTTAATCCTTCGTCTTAAGCCCAGGCTAGAAACCCTTGCTGCTCGTTGGTACTGTACCCGGAATTCTGGATCGGGGCCGGCCGTTTTTGGTAACCAAACAAAAACACGGACCACTTGGGAACATTTATTACTATTACTATTGTGCAACAGCTGAAAATCTTTATCCTTGCCTTAACTTGCGTGTTACGTCGTATGATTTGTGCCGGAAATTTGCTTTGATATCGTGGTTAGTTAGGTCGACACTTGTAAATGATTGATAGAAAGTTCGGGGGAGTGATTTCAGCTAACGTTTTCGTAAACTGGTTTGATATTTGTCCCAGCTCATACATCGGCGCCGGGTCAGTACAGATACGTCTGCTGTCTGGTATCTCCGTGTGCCTTGGCAGGTTTGTTTCGACTCAGCTATCATCATTCAACCAATGACGATCAACAGCTTAGTCACAAGATATGCATGCCACGATCGCAGAGAAATTTTAGGTTGATGGGGTACTTCAGCCCATATCGATGATTTTATTTCTGCTGGATGGTTGGGATAAGATTGATTGTGGCGGGGCCAAGGTGAGTCGTAGTTCACCACACGAAGCCACGCATCTGAGAGTTCTGGTAGAATATAACGCAAGATGTAGGAGCTAAAGGTTTATTCCTGCCGAATTTGTTGAATGCATGTTTCCAGTCGACCATAGCCTATCTAGACCACAGCTTGAATACGCACTTCTTTTCGTAACCTCCACACCAACGAAGTCTATTTCTCCCTTCAAAAAACTCTGTTGAATCCACTGATAGAGACCTGAGCTGTTGCCTATAAGGGAAACTATATTTTAATGTGGCCAACAAGGTTATGATGTCCGCTATTTTTCATGTGCGCCATCAAGGTTCAGTTATACAACTCCGATTACTCATTCCTTCCTTGCCAAGGACATCTCAGCTGAAAGATAAAACAAAGTCCACTTTTGCCCATCTTCACGGTAACATTGGGCGGAGGGGATTGCGATGATGGTGGTATAGTCGATTGTTGTGGTCTGAACCGTCCAAAATGCAGGGAGGGTAATCACAGTATTCCCCGAATGGCAGAAGATGTCTCTCTTAAGTCCCGTTACCGTCTTGCGGGATGTGGGGAGGAAACCTTAAGGTTCATCCGATAATTCGGGAGCAATGGGGTCTAGCTAGCACGTGAGACACTAAGCTTTGACGGGACTGGGATAATATGTGTCAGATATTTGAGAACAATTCTCTCGGCGTGCGAAAGGCCCCTCGTGCACTGGCCGGACTCAAGTCTCGCATCTGCGAGGAGAAAATATGAGACGGGCTGATAGTTAATACACTTAATGTCCAACAAACGATAAGCTAGCTGACGATACCTACTTCTTGACCAGCGAAAAGTGACCTCTTAGCTGTAGGTAGCTGTCTCTTAAGAGGGGGCATTATTATCTGTGTGAGGCATGTACAATGTATGTAGGTACTGTAATATGTATACTCGTATTTCACTGACGTTTGTGGACGCGACTGATATTGCATGCCATACAAAAATACACCAAGCTCATGATTTTGGGTGTATGCAATAATGGCCCAGTTCAAAAACGTCACTGAAATACGAGTACAGCGATTCACAGTCATTTGGCGAATACACCCATTTGGCGAACAGGGATTAAGGCCAATAAGAATCAAGATATCTTAGTCAAACTCGAGGTTTTACTAGTTGCTAGCTGGTTGCTACATACAAATTCGCCAAATGGGTGTATTCGCCAAATGCCTGTGAATCGCTGTAGAGTAGAGTAGACTTATGATGTACGCATCCCGATGAAATTTTCCGTGCATCTGGCGATAGATGCGTGCTAGAGTAGGTAATCAGGCATACCTATCTGCCCCCGTGCAACGCAACTACATGTATGTACGTGACGTGACGGGTGAACCAGCTATGTAGTACTCTACAGGCTCTGCCAAAGAACATCTCTGGCCAGTACCGTACCCCGCGATTGGTAACAAGGATAACCGCAATTTTGTTCCCCCACAATTCATCGTAAACCTCATCTCCAAAAAGGTTACTCCGAGACTTCCCCAGACTAAACGGTCCGTTTTACCCATCCCCGCACAGATTATGCGTAGACGTTGGGTTGATGGAATCTAGAAAGAACTTTCTCTAGTACGCCACAAGCGTTTTACTACCCAGGGTTTATCCTCCGTCTCCCGCTATACTATCCGAGATCAACTTTGGCCTTGGGAAAACCCCCTCTCCTCAAGCACTGCCAGCTCATAGGGCCATGTGATTTTCGAAAAATGAAAAAAACGCATGGCGTTAATGTAATATAGTGGGGGGCACGACTGTATGTGTGTCTGTAGATGGGAAGATGTGAGTTTGTACCGGTACTGGTATCAGTATTGCGTGCATGATATCATACTCCAAGTGGAGTAGATGTGCAGGATGCGTGATATAATTGGAAAGTCATTGAAAGGATCTCTGTAGGGAAACAACCATCTGGATACAGACATCAATACGCAATATTTCGGTAGATGAAGCACTCTTGCGCCGGCCGGCGTAGTAGCTGAGGGGAGAAAAGCAACACATCTCTAGTACCAAATCCGGTTTGTCGTTTGTTGAGGGATTATGGGATAAGTTGTCAGGGGAGAGGTAACTATCCTTACATTCTTGGTATTTTTTTTTGGAGCTGTTGGGCCAAAATGGACGATAGAATAGCAGTCGAGGAGAAGGGACCAAATAAGAACAAAGGCCGGTCCATGTCTTTGAGATAGAAACCTTAGATCGAACAAAGAAAAACCGAGATATCAGTAGAAACAACCGATCACCCGAATAGCACGCCGTACAGAACTCGAAAACTTTAGGCAGATCTCTGCAAGAAAAAAAAAGATGCGGCCGTCATGATTTGCAAAACGGCACTTATTCCGGGGGAAAACGAAGGTAAAGGTTTCCAGTTTGATACCCACCACCTACGAGGCGTCGAATTAGAATAAAGGAACAACCTCGTTGGACACACGACGATCCTTCTTTTCTCAAATACTTCTCTACCTGCTGTCTGCCATCTATCACGATATCATTTTCCATCTCATTTGCCTCGTCAGAGATGCAGCAGACCTTCACAAATTTGTGGTCTCTGATGCGAGGTTTCTAGCAAATGAGCATCTAGAGGCTTCCATACATCTCCAACTATCATATATCGTGCCATGTATCCGACAAACAATTCAAAAAAGTAGGTCTGTAGCAAAAAACTTTCCACTGCGATGATCAGACATAAGGCACAATCATAATTTCGGTTATTACATCTCTTCTCTGCGCTTACGTGCAGAGAGGGGAACGTTTTGGTCAAGATTCTAAACACTCATGCTCTGATCATGGAACGGTTACAAGATCGAGGGTCCAAGGATAGGGTTGACATGGATGACTACTGGTGGTAAGTGCCCTCTGTAACTGGGGGGAGGGGGGGGAGCGCAATAAATAATAGGGAAAAATCATCGGAAAGGGACCAAAAACACCCCAAAAAATAAAATACCAAAATAAAAACCCCGCAGAGGTTGTGAATTTGAGCGCATAGACGGAAAAGCCCAAGACAAGAGTGGCTAGGTCAGGAACTGGGACTGTTACATGCCTGCCTCTTCCACGACAGCACCCGCCCAGGCCACAGAGGCACCCAGGATTCAATACCCATGAGCGAGTAGGTACAGTACCGTAGTAACCAAGCAGAAGAGCAGAAATTACATATGTAGTCTTTGTCCACAAGAGAGAAGGCAAATTATTCTCCACTTGCTGCACAGGACGAGATGATTGCCATTACTTCTTGTTCAAGGGGCAATTATACGCGTGGTGCAGGTTGCGATGGATGGTTGGGGGTGCGGTTCGGATTCGTTATTCTGATAGAGTTTTTTTTTTCTGGACAGCAAAAGAATTTTTTCCATGCCTGGGTTCTTCGTGCGGTAGTGACTTTGCTTTTTAACCCACCCCCCTCCCCTTCATTCCCCCCCCCCCCCCTCTTCTGAGAGAAAAAAAACCCACCATACCTGACGCGAACCCCACTTCTCCCCGAAGATTCAAAAGACGGGACTTCCTCTCCCCTCTGGCTCCTCATCTTGTCGCATCAATTCCCACTACAAAACTCCCACCCAACAAAATTAATTAGAGATTCCCCCGAACACAAGCAAAATTTCGATTTCTTAAAAGAGAGATCACCAAAGGAGCCGCAAAGCTGTCTCACAACGACAACCTCAACGTTCCCCCCCAAATAAACCCACACAAACGGCAGTCACGTCTGTTCGTCGACAATTCTGGCGAGCATACTGGACTCCGTTTCTAGGCTGCACATAGCCAAAAACTAAAACTTACCGAGCAAGATCTTTTCATTCTTATGAGCCGAAAGGACCTGCTCCGTTTCTTGTCTCTACGAAAGAAGTAGGTTTCCCATACCAATTCCGATTCAACGCAACCCATCCACATTAGAATCACCCGAACGCCTAGAAAGACCACCCATTCGATTGAAGAAAAAAAACACACTGCCCAATGAAAATATCCAATAGAATTCCTTAAATGTTCCTATAATCTAGCCCGGATGATTCTTCACCCAAATTCAATTCCGTAAAGAATGACATCAGTACTGACGTCGTTTTCACTACTACTAGGCCCAGATAACACGACTCCCGCAAAACCGCAAAAATTTACTCGCCTCAGCCGCATTTAGCTTCAACCCCAAATTTCTACATCAGTACTCTAACCCCTCGTCTGCTCGACCGGTACCTCGAAAGAGCATCGGCATCTTGACGGCGGGGCGGAAGTAGCTTTCTGTCCAATTGAAAGACTACAAAGGATTAAAGTGAAAGAGAAAAAAAGACAGATCCCCACAACACAGCATCTCCATCCATTCAATCTTCCCCACACCTTTGAGCACCCATCACCCAACCTCTATTTAAGAAAGACATCGCATCCATCGTCTTTGCCAAGAATTAGTATAATCATACACCAACCAATAATCATCCAAATAATTCACAATGGTCAGTTCTTCAACCTCCAAGGCAACTGCTCTGTCGATCAACTATGAAGCAACTGCCGACCTTGATTCAACCAATGCTTTCGAAGGTAATTGTCCGATTTCCTAATTGCAGACTACATCAACTAACCCGTGAATTCTTTTAGGCCCAGAGAAGCTTCTCGAAGTCTGGTTCACACCTTCCCCGGAGTTGCTCCCACCCACTACCCACCAAAATGGTCTCAAATACATCACAAAAGAGAGATGGGAGCAGATGTTGGACATCGTCAAGTGCAAGGTCCTCTCGGTTGTCAAGAACGACAACGTGGACGCATACCTTTTGAGTGAAAGTAGCATGTTTGTCTTTCCCCATAAAGTTATTCTCAAGACCTGTGGAACAACCACCCTTCTCAATGGTCTTCCGGAGATGCTTCGCATTGCTGCTGAAGCTGGTTTCAACAATGGCGGGGCCCACGTTGCTACCCCATACCGTGTTTTCTACTCTAGGAAGTCTTTCATGTTCCCCGATAAGCAGATGCACCCCCACAAGAGTTGGAGGGATGAGGTTGAATATCTTGATGAGTGGTTCCTCAACGGGAGCGCCTATATGGTTGGAAAGATGAACGGCGAGCACTGGTACCTCTACTTGACCAACCCAGGAACCATGCTTTCCCCACCTCTGACACCCACAAACGAGCTTGCCGAGCCGTTTGACATACCCACGGAGACAAAAATACTAACTTTCCCGGAGGCCAACGACATTGTGTACAAGAATATCGGCGGTGGACGAGATGGGGGCAGTGGAAATGGGATTTTCGATGAGACCCTTGAGGTCTTGATGACTGATTTGGATGAAACTAAGGCCAAGCAATTTTACCTTGCTAATGCTAGTGCCTTGGCTGCGAGTCAATTCAGGCGCCAACAGCATGAGGATTCTGGGGAGGCCTCATCTGACGAGGATGATGAGCTTCCAGAGGAGCTTACCAGCGAGGGTCATGCTCTCGGTTCTATCGTCTCGAAGGCTTGTGGACTCGATGACACATACCCGCGATCCAAGTACCCTGATGCCTGCGTCGACTCCTACATCTTTAGCCCTTGCGGATTCTCGGCCAATGCCGTCATCCCGTCCCCTGACCCGAACGTCCCCACCACCCATTATTTCACCGTGCACGTCACGCCGGAACCCCACTGCTCTTACGCTTCGTTTGAGACCAATGTGCCAGGACGCCAATCTGGGCGTGAGACTGCTGAAATCCTGGAGCACGTTGTTGGAATTTTCCGTCCGGGAAGATTCTCGGTCACCTTGTTTGAGGCCCAGCCGAACAGCTTGGAGCGTGCCCAGGGAGGGGGTGTCTACGATACCACGGCAGCAAAGAGAAACGCGAGGATGGATGCCATCAAGGGCTACAGGCGCGTTGACAAGATTCGCCATGATCTCGACGGTTACGATCTTGTTTTCCGCTACTACGAGCGTGATGACTGGAAGGGTGGTGTTAAGCCCGTTTTGCGTGATTTCTGATTTTCTTCTCATATAGCGTAGCGTTTATTCTGTAATTTCCCTTAAGATGAAAGGAACTCCTTTCCTTCTTTCTTGACCTTTCTTTTTCCCTTTCTTTTTCCCTTTTCTTTTTTTTTACATCTAGGCTTGCTTCACTGAGTGAGATTGGGAGGGATTACAATTTGTCCCCAAAGTTATACAAAGAATTGAAATGGTGCTTTGGACTTAATTTCTTGCTGCTCTTTCTTCACTCACTCGCTCACTTGTTACGGTGCCTTATCCTGTGTAACACTTCAAATTACCCATCGAATGCTCCCGCTACTTGTAGCTATGCAAATTACATTAAAGTAGACTGTATTTTTAAGAAATTCAGAGGAGAAGAGAACCCCACACTTCATCGGATAAAGAGCCAATTTAAATCCTCATCGGCACATACCCCGGATGTTCATTCTAAATTTCTGTATGTACCTACTGTACATACATCTACCCAATAGTTGGCGCTTATCCACTTTGTTAGAGTATGTACATCGCTTGAACAATTATCCGAGGTTTTAACTCTAACTAGCGCCTCCTGCTCTGCTGGTAAAACAGATTTGTGGGCCCTTTTCCTATTTGGAAAGCAGTCCTGCTAGTTGTGGTTGTGGTTGGAATTTCTTTTTCCTTTGCGGCGAATGGGGCGCGCGGGTGAGATAAGCGAGGATGACGTTTTCTCGCTTTTTACGTGGGGGGTGGTTGTTGTTGTTGTTGCTGTGGGGAGGTCAACAGTACAGCGCCTCTAACTGGTCTGGTCTGGCCTGGGGGGAGTGGGGAGTGGGGAGTGGGGAGTACTTTGGGGTACTTTTAAACAGGGGGGTCAGCTCGATCTTAAGATGTTGACGGGCGCATTTCGAATAGCTTGTACTCTAATCGCCTATGGGCAGAAGAGAGGGATATTTTGAATTTTTGAATCTGTGGTATATACGTAAGGATGCCATCGCGCGATCGTGGGGTTGGTGGGTCATTGGGTCATTGGTGGTTCATTGGTTGTCACTCGGTTTTTGTTTTGATTTGCCTTTTGCCTTTTGCCTTTTCAACCGCGGTAGGGGTGGAGGGGAGGGAGGAGAATGTGATGTGGGTGCGGCGGGAGATGGGATGATGGGATGGGATGTGGTAAAGGAGGGGTGGAGGAGTGGAAGGAAGGGTCCAAGGTCCCGGGGGGGGGGGGGTGGTACTTGTGGTGGGGGGACCGATGGGATGGGATCGATGGGATGCGGAGAGGAGGGTAGATGTAGATTTAGATGTAGATGTAACGCTAGATTAGATTAGAGTCACGCTGGAGTTGTCACGGTTGCAGATGGGTGGCGATGTTGGTCCTGTAGTACCAGCACCCTAATCAACCTCTACTGGCAGTATTCAAATGTCTAGAACGGCACACTGTAACGAGAGTGACCAATTGTTGGACCATCGGATTTTTCTCTTTACATGCGGTAAGCCTCTCTCTGGGAGGGCTACTCATCCATCTATCTGTTCATATAAAGCCGCTCACAACCCTCGGTCAGATTTTGTTCTTGTTTTGAGCTGTGGACTTCGCCGACGCCTCATCAGTACTCCTCCAGGACTGTTCGCCAGACTCAAATCCCATACCGGAGGACTAGTGTCCATGAGCTCGATCGAGCAGTGAACTCCAATTCCCAACCAAAAAAATCGCAAGAGTGCCCATTCAAGATGAGTAGAACAGTCAGGCTCTCTTCCGCCATACTATGAGTTATTTCTACTGGTAGATAACACAAGGACCAGTGCATGACCAGGTCAAGCTCCCTTCGCGAGTGATATTATGTGATCGATGGACCGAAAGGAGCGAAGTATTTAGCATTAGCTCTTCTCCTATGCTGTTAGGTCCGCTTTGAAACTTTGCCCCGGATTTTCAAAGTCTCCACCGGGTCTGCGAGGCACATAAGTTGGCAGGTGTATAAATACCAGCGCACCTAAACCGGTTAGACGCCTCCGACCGGCCTTGGCGTCGACGTCCAAATATTAATTCTAGCCAAGAACATCCATGGTGGGTTGGCACGAAGTGGCTCTGGCCTTTGGCCGGTGCCGAAGTTCCAGGGCTCAGCCCAGAGTGGGATAGACTTAAGGAGGGGTAGTTCCTATACCTTTTGTTCTTTTTTTGAGCCGAGCAAGAGAAGAGATATTAACGTGAAGCACCATGAATAATTAGGGATCGACGTGCGCATATTCGATTCAGAGATCGGCGCTCACTACTATACTTGTGTAACTTCTCGATGGTCTTATAAGGTGTAGCCTCTTTTCAAAAACAGAAGGACTTATATATGCGAGCCTTCCTGGAGACTCTATTTGGAACACGCCCATCCAGGGCACTCGGCGTCTGTAAGGATATATACACAACGGCGTTAGGGTCATTATATATTCGATACCCTGAAAACTAAAGTCAGATAACAGCATCAATATAGCATCGACCAATTATAGTAAGATGATATAGATGAGAATTCAAGCAAGGAAACCACCTTTCGCCTTGACGCCAGATAGGCCCTCTAATTCTTGAGATGTATGTATTTATATCTTACCATTAATGCATAATTTAAGCAGACGCTTTCCATGGGGTGGCGTGACCTGAATATCTGAGTTCTATGGACTTTGTGGAGTGGTGACCGGCGGCGAGTTCGAGGCAATAGTACTTCTGTTGCGCGGTATCTAGGGTGGAGACTACATGTACCCACTCATCATTACCTTCCCTCGATTCTATATGGTAAGCGAGGGAGGTACTCCATCGGAGTCCAGGGTGGTTTGAATCAATTTCACTTATCCTGGGCTGACTACCACATCACATGATGGGGGTGATCGTCTCTTAGTCAATCAGATCCGCTCCCTCTGGAAAAGTGTGACTCGTGCTAACAAAAGAGTAGTTGTAATAACACCTAAATTAAATCTCGATCCTCGAGGGGCGGCATTGTGCATGCAGGAGAGCATACAACGCTTAAATATTCTTGAAATGTTATGATGCGCTTAATTATATGAGAGAATTTTTAAGCTGTAGCTTAATCTGCTGGAGGAAACCATATTACGATTTGAAAAAACCACCAACACTCGAAATGCCCTAGCAGATATAAAGCCTCCTCCAGGTCGTATTTATATCTACGCTAGATTCAATAAATTGGTCTGTCAATAGAGACCCTAGAGTTAGGGATATCCGGTGATGTCTAGTATGCTATTTGGCCAAGATCGTAAAATATCCAGTTAGTTATTCGTGGGGTGCTAAGAGTGTCTGCTGGTTATTTTGTGGTAATTCTTGCTTAGATCGTACCTTAATGGGCTCAATTGGTGTTAATCAACTCTACTAGATGCGCTTTTCTTGTATACCTTTTTTTTTTTTTCGGAACCTCTCGCATAACTCGAGATGTTACCCCTATAAAACGGAATCTTTTCTGATCACAATACCTTGGTTTGGGAGGCAAATATTTTATGTCTGGCCGGCCGCGGTGCCGTTGAAGGTTCTATCCTTATTAAGTCTTTGAATCATTGGTTGCTATTATGGAATAATGAACCAGCCAATCGAACTTCTTTAGTGTGGTCACGGAATTTTTCTCCCTGCTATCGAGTGATATCTCATGATCGTCGCGTCAACCACCAGATCAAAGAGAGGGGGGGGGGGGGGGGAAAGCCCTAGTATTATCGAATATCGAGAAATTCAGGGAGGGATGTGATATTTCAAGTCTAGCGACCCTTTGATACTCAGGTACCTAGAAATTTCTAATCGGCCACCGTGCACTTTCAAAACATGCACCAGCACTCGAATCTAGAAATCACTTTTAAGAGGTCGGGTTCCACGTGGCTCCATCAGGTGTCGGCAAATTATGTGCAGGGTTCTGATTCTTTCGGTAATGCTTACATGTGGCCGGGGAAGCTTGGTAGCGGTATGTATTAACAGAGGGGGAAGGCCCATATCTAAGGGATATGCGTTCGATCACAACGAAAAACCGGAGCAGGAAGCTGTTTAGTGGCCCCTCGATATGGTCGTGCCGATTAGCCACTAACTGGTTGGTATCGCGCACTGTCTGAAGGTTCGACTCAATAGGAATCTAGATCTTTCTACTCCTTACGGAGTGGTGTTGGGGGGCCGAATCCTCCGGGGGGGAATGGAAGTAATTAAATAAAGGGGGGCGTTTCGGGGAAACGTTATTTTGGTGGGGTTTTTGGTAGATGTTTGTTAATTGATAAAATTGTTAAGAATATAAGCTGAGGTCTGTCATCCTATGTATCCGTCTGGGGTGTGGATTTTGTTCCGGGTTGGTGGAATATGGGGGGGGAGTGATAGTTCATGATCCGGTGTTTATCGTTAACGCATTACTTGGTGGTTGGGGATTTGCGGAAGGTATAGTTTGGGGTGTGGATGGAAGGTGGTATTTGCTTTGGGGAGAGAGGCTGAGATGAGGTAGATACCTTTTTTCGTCAATGGGATTGAAGACTTGTAATAGAATTCTCATCCCGTATTCAACTTTGATACAACATTTCACTTCCTCACACGACCTGCTTGAAAACTGGTATTCGTTGTACACTTTTTATATACAGACTCTAGGTATTCTACAAGAAAGGAATTACAAAATGCCACAAGATATTTACTATAAACTTACATTTCACAACACCTGCTCACTCACGCACCTCCCCCCCCGTGCCCCACCAAGCCCTTCAAAACCTCACGAGTCTCCGGATCCACCTCCCCACCCTGTCGCACCCACCTCTTCGTGATCCTCGGCCAAATCTTCAGCACAAGCTCCTTGCTATTATACACCCTCGCCGTACTCATCAGTATCCACTTCGCCAAGCTCTTCTCCATCACGATGCCCCTCCGCGCATCAAACGCCCACGCCACCACCTCCTCCAGCCTCTCGGGCGTCCACGGCGTCTGGCTCATGCCCCCATACCAATAAAACCCCTTCAACAGCGCCACCAAAATCGTCTCATCCACGCGCACCCCCAGCACCCCCATCTCCCGAAACAGCGCCATCGCCCGCTCATAATCCCCCGTCTTTGCGCTCTGCAGCACAACCATGTTGAACGTGTACACGTCCGGCGCAAGCGACGCATTAAACTCCTTCATATACCCGCCGATGATTCGTCGCCGCCGCTCCGCTACGGCTTTCAGCACCTTTGCCCACCGCCGCTTCCCAACCCAGTCTCTGTCCGCCGGCCCCCGCGCCGGCGGCGGGTGCCCCGGGTCCAGAGCGGCCCGCTTCATGTTCTCGTAGATGTACTCGGCGCTCTGCGGCTGCCCGGCGCGCAGGAAGGCGGCCATCACGGCGTTGAGGACCACTGTGTCGACGATCTCGCCGGCGTCGACGAGCGCGCGGTATGCCATCCGCACGCCCTCGCCGTCGCCGCGGAGACCGTGGTACGTGATGAGCGTTGTGTGTGTGAAGCGGTCTGGCGCCATTCCGCGCGAGGAGAGCTCGCGCAGCAGCCATTCGACGAGGAGCGGCGTGTCGGATTTGGACGCCATGTCGAGGAGGATGTTGAATGTTGTGATGTCGCTGGGTACGCCGGCGGCGGCGGCGGCGGTGGTGGTGGTGGTGGGGGACTCGGACTGCTGCCAGAGGTGGATGGCGGCTTTTGCGTCGGAGGGGGTGACGGCGTCGAAGGAGCGGGCGACGAAGGAGATGGCGGCGTTGTATTCGGGGCGGGTGATGGGGAGGGAGGCGGCGCGGAGGTCGTCGAGGACTGCGAGGTAGCGGAGCATGGCGGGCTCGGTGCGCTGGGGGACGGTCATCATGCGCGCGGTGAAGGCGTTGATGTGGTGGAGTTGCAGGTGTAGGATCTGCGGGGTGGGCAGGGCGCGGTAGCTCCGGTAGAGGGTTTCGTGGGGGGTGTGCGGGTCAGCGAGGTGCCGCTTGAAGCGCCGCAGCGCGGATTGGGACTCGGGCGTGGTGCAGGCGTGCCATGGGAGCGGGGGCCGAACAGTTGCCTTGGGGTCGTTGGGGAATGGCTTGGGCGGCGGGGCATCGTCGTCGTCGAGGTCGTCGGGTGTGGCGGGGTGGGCGGGGGAGTCGTCGTCGTAGGACCCGTCGTAGTAGGGGTCGGAGAAGGATTTGAGCTCGGACTTGACGGCGGGGGAGAAGGGCGGGCGCGGGGTGAGGTCGATGATGGGGAAGTCGTGGTGCGGGCTGGAGGGCACGCGGCGGATGGTGCAGATTGCGCGGGTGCGGGCGGGCGTGGGGAGGGTCGAGGAGTGGTGTTTGCAGAGACTCGCCCGCACGAGGGCGTCGATGAAGAAATTGTCCATGGAGGTCCGCACTGATGATGGCCACTTTGTGGTGGTGGTGGTGGTGGTGGTGGTGAGAGTAGCAGCAGCAGTAGTAGCAGCAGGAGGGGCACCACCACGTAATTGCTGGATTGTGCTAGGCCGTCGAGAGCAGAGGCCGCCGAGGCCAATGGGAGGAGCAGAGGAGGGGGAGGAAGAGGGGGGTGAAGAAGAAGAGTAGCGCCGACGGTGGTGGTCCTCAATTGGAATTGATGGTACTATAAATTGCAGACGACACCTGGAGAATCTCAAAGCCACGGAGGAATATGTCCTGGTCGTCGACACGTCCACTAGACACAATGTGAACATGGAGGTCCGGGGAAGAAACTCATTGTGCGGTTCTCCCGGGCTCAGTGATAGTAGTAGTAGTGGTGGTAGTAGAAGTGGTAGTAGTGGTGGTAGTATTATAGTGAGTGAGAGACAACAATAAAGAAAAAAGGATTGGAAAGGGAGATTCGAATATTTATGGAGTAATTCGTTAATGCAAGAACTATGGTTTCCTGTATGCCAATTACGAATTGAAGCTGAACGTGCCCGGGAGGATTGCAATGGAGGGAGTGTTCTTCTCGGCGGGAGGACGGGGGGGGGGGGGAGGGGGAACGGGAGAGGGAGGGAGGGAGGGATGCGGGGCGGGGTGGGGGCGGCGGGGGGAGATTCACGGCGGGGGTGGTTTATATGCGTGGTTGTTGTGAACAAGTTTATTTTCTTGAGGGTCTGAGAGATACGCGGGGGTTGTAGGCGGGAGGACGGTGTTGAGCCCCACCAAGAGCGCGGGGTGGTGGTGGGTTAATCGCTGGTGACTAATGACAGGGCCCTGATTGAGATGGGAGGCTCTTGGACGGTGGAGAGAACAGGTCAAGTACATGTAGTATTGAAGTGATTTAGGGCTGGGAGCTGGGTGTTTGGATACTTGTATTGTCGCCTAGAGTAAGTATACCCATCTGAACAATTGCTTCTGCGCCAAACACTGCGGTTCTGGCGTTGTCACTCGGCTTCGGCATGCCGGTATTCTCTACTCTAGTCGACTCGGAGGCGAGAGCTTCCCCGTGCGCGCGATATTAGAGCGCATGCATACCTGTAATTACCATCACGTTTTTCGTTGTTCACAAGATTCAATCTGCACGTGTGTGCACATCTCCATCCCCTACCAGACAATGTACTGATCAGCACATTACCTGATCCCAAGTAACGTATATAAGCTTCGTTCTCTCCGGTGTCCTTTCTGAAAATAGACCATTATTGGCGGGTGCACTCCTCAATTATTGACGGACTCCCTCGCCTGCATCTATATGAAGAGCGCGCCCCGGATAGAGAGAGGCCGTTTGGCATTGATGACTACGCGTTTGTTACAAAGTATGCATCTGTGGTACGAGCACAGCCAGCTGGGCCCATGATTGGCCAACCAACACTCTACTACTACATGTAGAGATTAATGAAGCGAACGAACCAAACACTGGGCCCGTTCCATAGATGTGTAGGATGCGAGGATAAACTTTGATCGACCCGACAGCTATCTATAAACAACCACCACTCCCTCCCTGCCTCGCGAGGGTGAATTCTGTAAATCCATCCAGTGATCTATCTATATCGGTATCCTGGACTCGCTGGCTGACTGACTGGCTGGCTGGCCGTGGTGGTGGTGGTGGTGGTAGTGGTGCCTCTAGAGTAGCTGGCTCTCCACTCTGGCGGGTCTGTGTATCCTCAACCTAAATATCCATCATCCATCTGCTCTACTGTGTTCATTACAGTACCTTGGTCTGGGTCCGTGTTTGTTTTAATCCAATTGTGCACGGTCTGGAAAAACCTAACCCTGGCTTACGGGTTAGTTGGCTGGCTGGAGAGGAAGGAAGCGAGAGTGGATGTCGCAGGCTCTTGACGTCATTGATTCAAGACCAATTGGCACCAATACATTGCACTTGTATTAATAGATATCAATGTTGGTATTTTACATGCAGTCGTCAATTGGAAATACCATACTGCTTTGTCTGTATACAGGACGGGGTTATGTACTCTACCCCTAGCTACCTACCCATAGCCTAGAGTACATGTATGTAGGTACATAACTGTGCTTCAACCTTCGGGGAAGAGGTATCTTTACCCGGGGGGAAGGGAGAGACGTTCCTGTGCCTGTCTGTTCCTGTGCCTGTCTGTTCCTGTGTTTTGGGGAAGAGGAGGAGGGGGTGGGGGTGGTGATATTCAAGGTGCCAGACCAGACCTCCCTCCGCGGTACCTTCTCCGGGCTCTGTTCTCTGGTGGAGTGGAGTGGTTTCTGTATTATATAAGCTTAGCTTACTACCCTTGACATGTCAACAGGGAGCTTTCTTTGATGCCCCGGTCAACGTTGCCCTGAATAGAGCAGAGCAGACAGAATACCCTCCTAGCTACAGTAGATACCGGAGGGAGTGGAGGGGGGGAGAGGGACCTGGGAGAGGGGGGCCGGGGGCCGGGGGAGCTTCTAGCAAGCAAGCACTACACAAGAGTTCACGAGAGAGGGGAGGTGCAAAAAAACAAAAACAAAAAAACCAACAAAAAAAATAAAGAAAAAAAAACCAACAAAAAAACTTGAACCCACTGCGCTTCCCATTCGAACGAAGCAGGCTGACCAAAACAAGTAACCCCATCCATCCATCCACCTTGCTCTTCTATCCTTAAAGCCCAGCCCAGCCAGCAGCACCCTTCCCCCCCCCCCCAATCCTCCCCCTCCCCGTGATCTCGAGCAAGCAAGCAACATGACCGACCGCCCCGCCACCTCTCCCGCCCGCTCATTCACAACCATGGCCACGCCCACACCCACGCCGCCGCCCATACCACCACCGCTCGATAAGGCGTCGTGCATCACGCTCGTGACGCATACCCTCGCCGACGCGCGCGCCCGCGGAGATCCGGTCACGATCGACTTGTCGCATCAGCGCATTGCGGCTATTCCGGTGGAGGTGCTGGAGCTGGTAAAGTGCGAGATTGAGAGGTTAGTAGGATGTGGAGTCGCAGGGGGAGTAGGAATAGGAATAGGGATAGGGGGAGGAGGTGGAGGTGGAGAGGAGCAGGAGGTGGAGGTGCAGGAGGGGGGGGGGGGGGGGGAAGAGGAAGAGGAAGAGGAAGAGGAAGAGGAAGAGGAAGAGGAAGAGGAAGAGGAAGAGGAAGCTAGAGGAAGACGGAAGAGAGAGAGGGCTGACATGTGAGGAACGAGCATAGGCTAGCACTTGCGCATAACCAGCTCACGGGCTTCTCGGACGAGTTTGCGGCCTTGCCGAGGCTGCGGTACCTTAACCTGCGGTCAAACTTTCTGCGCGAGTTCCCTGCTGCGGTTAGTTTCCCTCCCTCGTCTCTTCTGTGTCTGTTTGTTTGTTGTGGGTGAATGGTGGAATGGTGATTCTGGGAAGAAGAGGAACATGAAGAAGAAGAAGCTGAGCTTGGGCATGTGGTGGGGGATGGACAGCTTACACGACTGCCGTCACTCGAGATTCTTGACGTATCACGAAATCGACTGCGTGCACTACCTGCCGACTTTGGCACGCTCGTTAACCTTAAGGTTCTCTTCTCTCCCTCCCTCTCTCTCTCTCCCTCTCTCTCCTCCCCCTAGCTGCTTCCCTCCCCGACTCTAACTAACCAGCCTATATCCAGGTACTCTCCATGTCGAAAAACAAAATCACAACGCTCCCCGCCTACATTGGCGACATGCACGACCTCAAGATCCTGAAGCTGGACCACAACCCGCTGTCGTTCCCGCCGGCGGCGGTGCTGGACCTGGACGGCGAAGAGACGGACCGCGACGCGTGGCTGGACAACTTGAAGCGGTTTCTGAGGAATGGGTCGAGGTGAGCTTTTCCGGGGGGAGGGAGAGGGGAAGTAATAGGTAGTACGGGTATATGGGGCAGCTGCTAACGTGCATGCCATGCAGTGGCAGCGAAAACGACTTTTTGAGCACTGCAGCGACATTGGTGGCACGACCGAGCACGGAAACACTGTTCTCGGACGCCGGAAATGGAAATGGTGACACCATCAAGCCACTGAAAGGAGGCGGAGTAGGGGGAGGAGGAGGGGGAGGAATGATTGGAGGGGAAATGATCGGCGGGGGAGGAGGAGGACTTGAGCCCACAATCACCCCTTCCGTGACACCCCTGGCATGGCTGCCAAAAAGGCGTCGATGGGCACCGGGCGGCGGCCCCCCAAACAACTCTTGCAAAGCCTCCCGATGGCCCTCCTCCCAGCCGCCCTCAAGTCCCCCGGGCCACTGCAGCCCCTCCCGCAGACGCCCACTGAGCGCTCACGCAGCAACTCAGAGTCCACGATCCTCAACACCCGGCGCATGGGCATGGTGGGCACGCGGGGCAAGCACGCCGAGCAGCAACACCTTCGCACCGTCGATGAGCAGCACCTACAACTCCAGAAAGCAAAACACCAGCGCGGCTACTCCCACGACTCTGCCGTCGTCCGCGGCGGCGGTGGCAGCGGTAATGGTAATGGTAGTGGTGGCAGCCCACCAGACCGGCCCCTCCCCTCTTCCGCCGCCTCTCCAGCCTCCCCGAGCACAAACGCTCCTCGCAGTCCGTCTCCTCCGCGCGCATCGGCGAGGCCGCACGCGGAATCCTGTACGCAATGTCGACGCTGCAGGGCCCCATCGAGGAGTTTGTACAGTCGCTCACCCCCGCCCCCGCGGGCGACACAAGCACCATCGACACGGCGCTCTACACCGCCAACATCCACATCGGCACGCTTGTCAGCGCGCTCGAGGCATTCGAGGAGACTGACGAAGAGGCGCAGGTCATTGACGCATGCTACGCGTGCGTCGCGGCGTTTAAGCGCGTGCTGGCACTCATACGCGAGACGGGCGGCGCGGGCTGCCAGGAGAAGAGATACGTGAGGACGCTGCTGCTCATGGTGTATGGATCGTATATCGAGATTCAGCACAGCTATGAGACGCTGCGGCCGCTGCTGCCCGGCGCGGGAGAGGAGCCCCCCGTGACGGCGAGGTTGTATGCGCCGCCGCCGCCGCCGCTGAGACTGAAGAATAGTAGCTCGGTGGTGAGTCTGCCGTCGACGCCGCGGCAGGACGTGTTTATGCTGCAGCCGCCGCCGACGCCGGGGTTGGCGGTGGCGGGGGCCGTGGACGGCGGGTTTGATAGCGATGAGCCGCTGTATGGGAAGTTTGTGGCGGCGACGACGGCCGCGACGACGACGCTGCCGGTGATTGAGCGCGAGATTAAGGCGGCGGCGGGGTCGGTGCCGAATCCGGCGGTGGCGTTGAAGCTGAGGGAGGTGGCGGCGCTGTGTGTGGCCGGGACGGAGGCCGCGAGGAGACTGGGGATGGTGAAGTGGGAGGCGGTGAGGGAGGGGGATGTGGCGGAGCGGAGGAGGTTCTGGGAGGAGACGAATAAGTTTACTAATGTAACTTTCCCCCCCTTTTTCTTCCCACTGGGAGTTTTGTCCGAGCTTTGGAAGTTAATTGCTAACGATGGGATGGATAGTTGGTGATCAATATCGCGGAACTCATCAAGTCAATAACACAGGAGCACCCGTTTCCAAAACCGACGCTCATCGCGGTGGGGACCGTCGTGCGCCCGACGAAGGACCTGTACATCCTCATGAACGGGTCGGCGTTCAGACACCAGCAGCAGCAGTATGCGGCCACGCCGCTGTCGGCCGCGTTGGGGGTCGCCATGCAGGCGACGATACCGCAGATGGCGGGGGCGTATAGTGCGGGGAGAAGCGGGACGATGGTGAGCTTGGGGCCGCAGATGGGGATGGGGATGGGGGAGGTGGGGATGGGGGCGGGGGCGTTTGGGAAGGGGGTGAGGTTGACATGAGATGGCTTTTGGGGCGGGGGGGTGGGCGAGTGATATATTGTGACGTGGTGGCCTTTTTTTTTATTTTTATTTTATTTTTTACTTTGGTTTCTGGGTTGGGGGGTTGGGGGGGTTGGTTATCTAGTTGGGTTTTTGGGCTTTTGGGTGGTTTGGGTGGTTTGGGTGCGGGCCTACTTCTTACTGCAAACAATGGTTTTTTTTGTCTGTTTACTTCTGCATTCATGCGTGCATGCATGCGTGTGTGTGTGGGTGGTCTTGTATCTATCTATCGAGCTATGTATTCTTGGTGTATAATGGGCTGGTTCAATTGCTCTCTTTTCGGCCGCTCTCCTCTTTTCTTCTCTTCTCTTTTCTTCTCTTCTCTTTTCTCACGCTTTCGTTTTTAGCATGGGACCTGCATTGTGGGCACCAGTACTGGCTAGGCGGTGTATCTACATACATTATCTCGAGGGATGCGGTTAATGTACGTATATACCTATAGCACGTCCCAAGAAATAAGCTCTTCACGCATATGCACGCGCCGGTTCGTGTACTCGGGGTGGTAGGGGTTAACGAGGCTGGGGGCGGCGGCGGTGCATGCATGTAGGGTAGGATCTCTGGTGTCTGGGAGCCATGGTGGTGATGGTGGGGAGCTGGGGAGCTTGGGGAATTGGAGAGTTGGTAATCGGGAGCGTGGACCTATATCTATGGAGCTATCTGTAGAGTTGCGTCTTGCACTATCTCGTTACAAATATTGTAACACCTCCGGCTCCGGGCCAGGTCATGAGCTCTCGAAGGTTCGTCCTGTTGAGTATAGTGGAGCGCAGCACCGAACAGTGCTGTGGTGTGCTGTGGGGTGGCCGCGCTGGAATGAATACTCTCGAAATACCGTTATAATTACCGTCATGTAGCGGTGGCTTGTTGGTAGGGGCTGGTGGGTTCGTATATAGTAATCTAGCGCCCATAGGTTCTGTTTATATGAGCTCGAGGGGAGTAGGAGGCTAGGGAGAGCCTGGCTTTGCTCGTGGTGGTAGATAGTTGATTTGGTGATCACGTGAAAGCTGACTCCACTAGCTGCGTAGACACCGGGTGTTGGCCCGGGGGGTTCTTTATCGGGTTTGATCAGGGGTGGGGGGTAGTGATTAGAGCGCATGATCGATCTATGCACCTCATGATGTTACATGTGCAGTACTTTTCTGATCCTTTTTGTGATCCTTGTGGTAATTTTAAGTGCGTCATGGGCGGTCACTCGTCTCCATTTCAAGGGTGTGACACGTTTTCGGTGGCACGTTCTGACTGGGAATGTGTAGCTGGACGGGAGGAGGTGGAGGAGTGGGTAATACTAGTACTGGAGTTGAATCCCAGCGCAAGAGTACGTAGACTTACGAGGTGGTGCTTTTCTGGGATCGGTTATATATGGTCCGTTACGTCGGTCTAGGCCTTGGCTATACTAGATACCCTTCCCCTTTGACAGATATTGAGAGAGAGGTAATTATAGATTATTTAATTCTCCACCTTATCAGACGCAGATGGTCTCGGGCCGGGCAAGGCGTTTTAGGGCGTGATGTAGGTTTTGCAGGGCCGGTGCATGGTGGTAGACTGGAAATATGGATCCCACTGAGCACGGTATACATAAGGAAGGAATAAACGAGAGTTGAAATAACCGAGTTTCCCTCTATGTGTTAGATAGTATAAACTGGTTGTTTCTTTGGTCTGGTTGGTGGTGAAATCATGGGATATCACTCGGTGCGACATGGGTGGTAGTCCACTTTTATGGAAAAGAGGTTGGGTAGGGGTATTATGTTATTGGGCTTTCTTACTCTGCAATCAACACTACCAGTTCCGGAATATGTTTCATACCTTGAGCTCTAAGAATCAGGTATCCGCGGTAATGTAATTGGGATAATTGACTATGGGGCGGATATTTGGTAGTAGAATGGGGAATTAATTAGTGCAATGGATCGTTGATTATTCGATGTCTGTTTGAGGAATACCTTTTCCAGGGGGCAACCCGGTATTTCTTTTTGACAATACTCGGGCGTTCAGTGAAAGCAACGGGGCGAACACCAAAGTTGAAGCAACACGAACTCACGAACCCATCCAAATGTAGCAATGGCAACAAGAATCTTTAGTGAAATAGCAAATAGATACATGATAAATTAACCTTGAAATAGATTTCCTCCCTTCTGTTGAAACATTGATTTAGTTGGACCGCGTCACGTCAACTTTGGTGTTCGCCCCGTTGCTTCCTTGTTTTCACGACCTTTTACTGAACGCCCGAGTACAAATTGCTCAAAGGCCCGGTATGGTCTGTAGAAATGTATCCTAACAAACACTAAGACTGGGATATAATCTGATCGCTGTTACGGTTATGTTGGGCTATGTGCCTGACAACTCTTGAAACGCAGCTAGCCTACTGATGTATAATAAATGCTGCATATATGCATTGATTGATTGGTAAACCTGTCGAAAACAACTCTGTAATATGGTCAAGCCGTGAATTTGTTTTGGACCTTTTTGAAAATTCTACTGATGAGATTTTATTTGAAAACATTTATTGATGTATCAACTCGCACAGACGAGTTTACCTGCGATTTTGCCAACGATATTCCGTATGAACTCCTTGATCTATTGCTATAGTTCTTAATTCTAGTATATTAACTAATAGGCTACACGGCCCGCCACTGTTTTAATTTCATTTTCTGATATATTTCCTATTTGAACTTTGGTGAAATGAGATTGTGATGCATTTATTGATGCATTATACACACTTCATAGTTCTTTGGTACACGATGCATTTTATGGAAGCATTTGCTGATGCATTTCTTTCGGTAGTAGGGTCTGGTCTCCTGGTGTTTCTTTTGGTTCCACGTGCATCCATCTCGATCTCTTTATATACTGAATTTGCACCCTCCCGGCCGCCGCCCACTCTCCACATACACCTTGCATCCAATGAAGCTCCTCCCCGCACCCCCGACTACCTCGCATCCAAACATTCAATATACGCAATAACCGCTGTTACAGTTCTCCACAGCTGTTCCCTCTTCCACAGCCCCGACACTGGCATCCCCATCAGCCTAGACCTCACGCTGTTCTCCCACAGCTCCACACACCTCTTCGCCACGAAGTCCAAATTCCCGCCCTCTCCGTTTTTCACGCGGCGGGCCCAGTTCAGCGCACCCACATCCACATCTTTCCCAATCACCGGCATCCCGCCCTCCTCGGGCCGCGGCCCCGATGGGCTTATCCACACTCGCGGGGCTATGTTAAGCCCCGCGTACTCGAACGCGTCCAACGTGCTGCACTCAAATCCTTCGCTGAGGTACTCGCCGTGCGACACCGGCGTTGTATTCTCCGTTGTGCGCTTTAAAAGGAGGCTGCGCAGGCGGTTCCAGAGCGTCTCGCGCAGGTGGGCCGGCATCTCTCTAATCTCCGTGGTTGTGCAGAGGCCCAGCAGCATTACACCCGGAGAGGACCTCATATCCATAAAGCGGGCGAACTGATTGGTATACTGCTCTCTCAGCCACGAACGATCGTGGATGTAGCCTGTAGTTGTTGAAGGGCTGACAGTGGGGCCTCCATAGTTTTCTGTGGACCCGCCGAAGTCTCTTCTGTCTCTGTCGCTGTCGCGCTTTTCAGACCCAACGTCTGCGCTCTTTCTCTGCGTCTCAGCTACCATCTCTTTGGGTGGTTGTGGGGGCGCTCCCAACTTCATATTCTCCGGGCGAGAGACCAGGCTGGCTGGCGGCGGCGGCGCCCCCGCTCCTTCCAATAAGGCCGTGTTTGGCTCAGGGCGAAAACTAGGTCTAGATCTGGGCTCCTCCAGCGGTGGCATTGTTGCCGTCCGCTGCATGAGCACGGGCATATGCATCATCATCAAGCTGCGCTCCGCCGCTCACAAGGCCGCCGGCCCTCTCCTCGGAGTCTTGGGTACTGCCTATGACCGGCGCGGGCGCGGGAGCGACCTGTTTCAATGGCGGCACCATGTGCAGAAATCGTGGCAGCACAGGGACGTAGAAGTCTATGCCCGGGATATTTGGCGCTCTACCGAACCTTTTCAACGGCGGTGGCTCTTTCCTGTTCAGATTTCTGAACCAATACTCGAGATGCTGTATGTCGTCACTGTCGTATGTTTTCTTTGCGAGTGTGGTGCGGGAGCGCAGGCGGCGGACCTCATCGTTGAGGCGGCGGCATTCCCGTTGTAGGTAACTGATCTCTGTTAGGAGTCTTTCGACCGTGGTTTTGTGTTCTATGTTGTCTGCCCTGGCCGGCATATTGTTATGAATATCAGCCATGGTTTAATTATTGTAGTTGTGGGTGGGGTTTGGTGGGGTTTGGGCGAGCTGTGTGGAATATATATATATTCGATCAATTCAAGATCGGGTATATGGATGACGGGCCTAGTAGTAGCTGGCTGGAGCCATATTGTCTGTATAGGTGCAGATATAGGCATTTAATAACTAACGTCTTGCAAACGCCCGGTGAGAAGAAATGCTGGTAGGAAGAAAGAAGCAGAGGAAGAGAGGGCTGGCTAGCTAGGGGGACGGCTTAACAAGCGTCTAGAGATCAGCCTTTGGCTAATAATATTTTACTCTATGTGTAGGAAGTGGATCCATTCGTTGTAGGTACACCGAATGTTGGCCGATACATATGTGATGTGCGCACTACACACGCCGATGCAGTACATGTGTAATACCTTCAATCCTTATTGGGGCCAGCACATACACAGTCCACCTAGGCCCGTAGAGTAGAGTATAGAGTAGAGACTAGGCATGCACATCTATGCCAGTGGGCATCTGGGAAACAGTATTTAGCATTCTAGATAAATATTGTGTGCGCACATACGTAAGGTAGAGTAGTGCTCTACGTCGAATCTGAAGCCCATGAGCAGCACTTTTACAGACCTCTGAATTATCACTGTCATCCTGGCCCCCCCTCCCCCCCAATATATATATATATATGTATAAACGCTATTTAAGCAACTAGACCTCTAATCCGTATTATATCAACGTCTCTCAACGCTCCTCACCTACAAAACATTAATATCAGCTTGAAAAAAGGAGGGCACTGAATCCTTGGTGCATCTTGTGTTTTATCCTGCTCTTATTACCCACCCCGCCCCCTCGTATGATGTCAGGTAAGGTTTAAAGTTATCAGTTCCCTAGGCCTCCACCATATTTATTGTCCACAGTCGAGCTAACGCCCACCCCCCCACCCCCCAGGATCCCTAGTGACTGATCCCACCTCGCACTTGCGCGCCCAAAACGAACGCCTTGAGGAACAAGTAGAACGCATGGCCCAGGAAGCAGACCGCAACGCCGAAGACGCCCGCTGGATGATGGCCGACCTCGCCCACGTCAAGCTCCAGCTCGCAAAAGCCCATGAACAGCTCACCTCCCTCCGCGCCGAGGTTGAGCAGCTCCGCCTCCTCCGACCACCCGGGACGCCAACGGCAGGTACAATTAAGGAGGTGCCTAATAAGAGCAAGCAGACTCGGACCCGCATTGGCATTTATACCCCCGCGGAGCTCACCGTACTCGGCGAGGCGGCGCTGACCAAGCTGGATCAGCACGTGCTCGAGCTCTCTGTGCAGGTCCACAACGACGACGCATTCGAGAGCGCCTTCCGCGAAGCGGGGGCTGCGCGGGTGCGACCGCACTACTATGAGATGAGTGAGGCCGAGGCCGGCGTTCTATTCAACGACACAGGGCTGAGTGCGGGTGAGCGGTGCTATTGGGGAATGGTACAGGCGGCGAATAGTGTCGTAGAGATGGGGTGGTACTATGGGAACTGTATGAATAGGGTGATGTATAGCATTACGATGATGGACTATTTGGACTGGAGGGGCATTGCGGGGGAGACTGGGGGAGGGCAGTGAGGAGGCGGAGGTGTGTGTGTAACTATTCTGAGATATATGTGAGCATTGCATTGGTAGACGCATATATCAATATCGGTATATGAAAATACCAAGAAATGTATTCCCAAAGCCCCTGGCAAGAAATGACTTACTTGGATGCCTTTGCCAGTCGTTTTGTAATCGATCCATGGAATACTGCTTCGACCAATTGTGAATCGAACACAACAGAAATAACCACTGAGGCGTTGAGGACGTAAGAGGAGACTTTCATCGCTCATCCTAGGCACGAGATTACAACACTGGCTCTCGGTCCCAGCCCAGCATGAGATGTCATTCGCACCAACTTTTGATGATCTTTCTGGATTTATTGCACTCGAGCTGGGAATAATGTCCCTCTAGTGAGGCTGAGGTATGTTTTGTTATAAGAGGTATAGCCACAAATGTTAATATTGAAATTCTACGTGATCTGGCTTGATTCTTTTCTACGAACTGTGGACTGACGCCCTCTATATATACCCGATTTCTTCGTCCTATACTCCTATACCATTTGCCTGCCCGTGATGCCGCCCCAAAGCCGTCGGGTCATGCCCCCACGACTGGCACTGCATGCAAGCTGCCGAAATCAACAAATACATATGTGGTCATATATTATCCTGCCTCGCGGAGGCTAAGAGGGCTGGGTATTGGGTACGGGTACTTGGAAACTGTTGCGTAACTCTACATCAAACGTCAATTATTTAAGTATTCTTGAACTACTACCTGCATGCTCTCAATCGAAAAACATCTCGGAAATATGATAGCGAACGCAGTCCCCACTCCTGAGGGCGGTCCAGTTTTTTTAAGACCTGAGGCGGATAGGAAAGAAAGAGAAAATCTTCACTACTTCTTTTACTCTAACCCAGTTGAAACTATTTACATACATGGCATATTATTCTCAGTGTGGCATTCGTGGCATTCTGGCCTAATACAAGACGAGACGAGACCTCACCAGATTGTCTCGAGACCTTGCGTATTGAACTTAACATGATCTGCCAGGTTTTGCCTCATGCCCATTGCTGAGATTCTGATTAATGCACATCACGAAGTGGACCACCGGGTTTTGCCAAGACCCTGGCTTAGGTGAGAAATGACCGAATGAGCTCTGAGCAGACTGCACCCAACGTATCACACCCCCACTTCTCAGCTGCGTCTTGGGGACCCCGCACCAAGTCAAGCAGTCGCTCCGGTAGCTTATACTGCAATCAACACCTTTACGGTTCCCCTTAATCATACATGTCCCTATAATTTTTGAAGCTCACGCATCGTGAATCCCAGTTAACGTTATGTCCCGGGACACTGTCTTCCGTGTACTGGGAGTCCCTGCGTTGGTCACCATAACACAGCTGAAAATTACATTCTCAAAGGAATTTGGTGAGGACTCGGCAATCGACCTCAAGAAATCAACATTATGTCCCTCCTGTTTCGGCGACGATACTCAGGTTGCGCTCATTCAATTCATCGCAGAGCCACCGAGGACGCTTAGTACCCTCCAAGCCGGTCATCCCTATGAAATGGAGCTCGAAGGAGATGATATCACTGTTGACAAGGACTTTTATGGCCTGACACAACTGTATCCCACCAGCGGGGCCGTTGTGGCGGAGTAAAACACACCTATCAAGCAAATGCTGATTATGAATATATGAAATTTACTAACTAGAATATAGTGTAGTTGCGGTATGCGGACTCAATGGCCATGCTTACGGATCCTGGCGGGGGAGGGGCAACCTGCGTCGAATGTGGCTACGTCATTTCTTCTCACAGGATATTCCAAATTACAGGACCATGACTTATGGATACAATTCGTGTCTCACGGCCCGTGCTGTTCATACAACTCAGGACTATTCGAAAGGGCTTTTAGAGGAGTTGATAAAGGCGAGGAATACCGATCAGGTAACGCCCCTCAGTATCCTTCATTGTTCATATAGTGCTCTGATTAAATGGATTATATAGGAGAAGAAAAGACCTTTAGTATTTATTGGGCACAGTTTTGGTGGTGTAATCATTGTCCAGGTATGTTCCTTGCCGATGAGCATCTAGATTCTCATTATCATCAAGATTCACACTTACACTTCTATTACCACACAGTCACTCGTACGAGCCAGAGAAAGCGACTTAGGCACCGAACAGAACCGGATCTTTTCCGCAACTCATTTGACGATATTCTTCGGCACGCCTCACCGTGGCTTCGTGGTCGATGATATCCGCGCCTCACTTGAGGAAGGATCGTCCCGCCATAGCCTACTTGATTCTATCGAAAAAGGCGCATCCATTCTTGCGTCCGAACTTTCCCGTTTCATCGACTATTCTGACAATATCAAGATTGTCAATTTCTTTGAGACTCACCAGACCCGAAAGCTTGCACGGGTATGTATATAGTGGATGTCGCGAATATTTAATTAGTTCGAGGTGCCCTGGCTGAATATTATATAGGGTGCTGACGGCAAATTATCTAGATCTGGAGACTTTTTCACCGCCGTGGAGAGGGAATCTTCCGTGTTGCAGCTCCCACGGAAACTTACGGAGTCATTACCAGTTGATGCTGACAACTCAGAAATGGTCAAGTTCGCAAGCAAGAAATCTTCACAGTCGTATACCAGTATTCTAAAGCACATAAGAGAGTTCGTGGCGCACTACGACTTGACGACGACCGGAGGTACATAGTCCCCAATAACGTCTCCCCCTTCTTTTTTTTTTATTTTTTTTTTATATCATGTAGTTTTATTGATTCTAGGTACAAAACTCTGCATGCAGTCATAGACTATGGCATAAACGTCTCCCCCTTCGTGTCTTGGCGATGTATATAGATAGCTAACAGAATTCTGGAATAAAACAGCAAGCGATCGTTTTCACACGGCATACGCTGCTGTTCTTGGGAAGGATGTAGAAGCGTTGAGGCGTCTTCTTAGGTCTCGACCTGAGGCAGTGAACGACAAAAAGAGAGGCACAACGCTTCTTCATCTCGCTATTGAAGACGGCGGAGATTTAGAGGTGATCACCACGTTGCTAGAGCATCAAGCTTCTCTCGATTCCGTTGACTGCAAAGGGATTACTCCACTTTACCTGGCGGCCAGTAAAGGCTATACGGAGATAGTGGAGATTCTAGCTAAAAACGGTGCTGATATCAATGCCATCTGTGAAAGAAAGGTGGCACTTCATGTTGCCACGCTCGGCAGTCATAAGGACGTAGTTTCGAAATTGTGCTCTTACAAAGCAGATACTGCAGCAGTTGTAGATGACCAATATGGATTTACGGCCTTGCATCTTGCAGCTCGTACCGGAAACACCGAAATAGTGAGTATGCTACTGCTCGGGGGAGCGAAAATAGACGCAAGAGGAAAAGACGAAGACACACCACTTCACTGCGCGGCCTGGAATGGCCATGTGAAAGTCATAGAGTTGCTCATCAATCACTCGGCGGATGTTACAGCAAGAGGGATAAAGGGTGACACTGCTCTTCATTTTGCGGTGTTTCAAGGGCACGTGGCGGCAGTTGGGGTACTTATAGATTATGGGCTGGACATCCATGCAAAAAATAACGATGGCCATACGGTGCTCCATATCGCTGCCGATGCAGGTCTAGTTGAAGCCGCTCGGTGCCTTCTGCTTCTAGGGGCCAACCCAAGAGCGGTTGACAATAATCAGAATATCCCGTTACACTTTGCCGCGCAAAATGGTCACGACCAGGTTGTCAGGCTCCTCCTTGAGGGGGATGGTTTTGATACCACTAGTTCGAGGGATATCAACGGCTACACCGCTTTACACACAGCAGCATGGGGTGATCATTCGCGCGTAGTGCAGATTTTACTTGAATATGGTGCAGATGTGGAGGCGGTAGAGTGGGTCAGCGGGTATACGCCGTATACTCTTGCAACTCTGGGCAAGCATCGAGAGGTACAGGTGCTCTTGTCACGACGAACACCCGGACCCTCAACATCCCGAGGAGAATGAGATGTAAGCCCTGTGCGCACGGAAGGGCCCAGTGGAGCCGGTAGACCCTATTGGCTAAGCCCTAGTAATGCTAAGACGATAACTACGTTTATAAGAGAGATATCTATGCAATCGGCCCAAAAGTCCGGACAAAGGCGTGATTGGCTTCGAGGAGGTTGATCGTTGGGGTCAACTCACGTACCATTATGGTGTCCTAATGTTATAGAACGCGTCACCATCACAGGATCATAATACAATATAACTTATATCCACTCTTCAATCAAGAGGCCTACCTCATTTTGGTCGTCATGAATTAATAATATATTAATTGTCGAACAGTTTAAGCGAAAAGCGGAACGGAGGGATAGCCAAGGTTGCTAAAAGAGGACATATAGGTACACACGTAGGCACTATCGGCGGTTCTCTGCAGGTCTCTGTAGCTACCAAAAACACAACCATCTTGTATAAACACCGGATAAATGCAGAACCAACACCGCGCTCTCTTTTGCGCCATAACCTTTTTGAGTACCGCTTTATTTAGGTATTTGGTGGGGTAGGAACTCCAATGTTGAATGATGATGGTAATTAATAGGATACTCACTCTACCACACGTGTTAATTCATTCACTTACAGATTTCCCATGGCCATACAAAACCGAGCAGGAAAAAGGCAGAAATGGTCCATTAACTCGGGAAGTTATTCATAAATACATCACCTGATGGAGTATTTGATGTATTATTACCTTAGGGTATTACTGGGAAATTTTCTTGAAACAATTGGTGTACAACCTATGAGTCCCCATTCCACACTTTTAGATCATATTACGACTCCGGTATTCATTTTATAACATCAATTAACGACATTGGAATGTATTTTCCATTCATGGATTGAATACCTCCAGTATACTAATAAAAACCCCTATTTTAACCCTGATTTGATTGAGTCTCATATAATTCTTATTTTTCTTCACCCCAAAAACCTGCAAAGTATCGAGTACATGTGCTAAAAGTAAACACACAAAAACGTTTGCCTTCGTCTTTGCGGGCCGTCTCATGCTGCTGCTGCTGGTATGTAAGGAATCACTCGATCAGAACGCGCACGTTCGCCGGTCCGCAATGGGTGTTGGGAGACCCTATTATATTACTTACTCATTGATCTTGAAGTGTTACTAAGAAGGCATTCAGTAGAGATACTTTACTCGCGCTCCCCCACGTACTCCCACTGCGACCCGTAGTCTGCTGTTCTGGCCGCAGTCATCTATAGACGACCTGGCCTCCTGCTACCGCAATGAACCCCCAGTATCCAATATTACTACCGCTCATAATTCGATGCGCAACCGTCGCTACAAAATGCTTCCGCAAAGAACACGCATACGCGGTCATTACCCCCATTCTAAGGGTAAGGGTTGCATCACAGACTCTCACTCGCCTCACCCCCGACCACCAGGGCACACCTTTTGCGAGTCTACTAAGAACCGAAGGAGAAAACACGAAGTGGAGTGTGTTTCTTTGTGGTGCCAACCCTTGTTTGAAATCGAACTTTGCCTCACGGTGTTCAGCTGCGCGACGGGGTCGGGCCGCTCATGCCGAGACTTCTCCGCTCGATCGAGGTGGAGGTGAGGGGCTTCGTTCCTCCCCGCGGGATTGGTGCTCGCGCTTGTTTGGCGGGAGAGGATAATAGGGTCAACCCCTCTCTCTCTATCGGTCCCTAGCTGGGCTCTTAGTCGTGGAAAGTACACCTGCCTAAGGGCCGAGTGATGCCCCATGATGGAAGCCCTACAGCACCGAAATGCTCGCAACGTCGCTCCATGGGCAGAGCTATCGACAGTTTAATGGCGGATGCCAGATGCCACTACTTTGATTTGCCACTTGGCGTTAGTGGGGTTATACATATATAGTACATTGATCGCGGGGTGTGCAGTTCGTTACACTAGGCGGAATTACTACTACTAGCTAAGTATATAGGGGGTATGCAATTAAGCGGCAGAGCGTGTCCCATCAATGCAATTGGCGGTGAGGGGAGGGTTTTTTACCCTTGGAGATGGGCTTCTGTACTGTGCGGAGTGTTGCGAACACATCACGCGCGTGTGTAGAGCTAGAGCAGCAATCCGCTGCGCCGCGCATATATATATGCAAGCCATTATATTACTTACACTGTCCTGCCAGCATTATCTCTGCAACCACCATACTCCCCCTGCATCGCGCACATCCCGCATCTTCAACCTCCCCACCGGAAAACCGCCGCTCGATCCCCCACACTCACCCACCAACCAAGAACCCCCACCCCACCCCACCCACCAAGCCATGAAAACATATCTTCCCCCCCAATATATAACATAGCCCCCCCTCCCCCCAAAACCGGCTAGCCCTTCAGACACCCATAGCACAAACATCCAATCACAGGATATCACTCGACCGCCAAGACCCCGCACACGCGCACCAGAAAACGGGCGTCCAGATGCCTCCCTGCGGCAGGATGCGTGTATTTAACTCACGGTGCGTAACCGTCTTTTTGATCTGGGCTTGCGCGTGGACCGTACCGTGCATGTACCTCCCCCCCCCGCGATGATGATGAAGTGCACGCGGCCGCACATAGTGCTGGGCTGGGAAAAACACAGACCGGCGGTTACACATCAGAATACGCAACTGGGCCACAGCAGCTACTTCTCAGTTTTTTTGGGGGTCCCTGCTCTGCCGCGGCCGAGTGAGACGCCATGACTCACTCGATGCAGCAGAGGAGGAGGAGGAGGAGGCGTACGAACACCATGGCATAACTATCACATCCCACCCCGGCCACCCGCCAATTAGCACGCCGAGAGGTCATAAGTACACTGCGGCGCCAGGTCAGAGTCGCGGAGGTGTTTTGGATTCTTATGCGGCTGCGTCATGGTTTAGCACTCGCGCCAAGCCATGCCATGCCTGCTTTGGGCTGCTGCGCTGGGAGAGACTGGATTATGCGGTGGCGTGTGGTGCATGGTGCAGACGGCTGGCTAGTCGGTCATTGGAGAGTGGCAGAGTCTTCAAAACTTGGAACTGGAGCTGGAACTGGGGCTGGGGCTGGGGCTGGAACTGGAACTGGAACGTGCACGTACGTGTTGCTTTTTTGATATGGATGTATATATGCGACTTATATAGACCCTCCCGCCCTGTAGCCGGCCAGGCCACAGCCAGTGGTGGTGGCCACCCAAATTGGTGCTGTTGTTTGGTGCTGTTAATTGAGTTGGATGCGAGAGTACAGTTAGTTATCTTGCAATACTCGCGGGCCGTCTTCGAGACACCGCGATCAAGAGCCGTGCGAGACGAGACAACTGTTGGTCTTGTCTTGTCTTTTCTTGTCTCGTGACCATCACTACAGCCAGCCAGCCAGCCAGCCAGCCAGCCGCGCGGTTGTGCCGGTACTATACAGTTGCAAATATCTGGCCAGAGACATGGGCGTGGGAAGAAGAGTAAGCATGTAGCTTATGGTGTACGTGTATATATACGCATGCATAGCAGTCCGGCTTGTTGTGGATCATGGGAGACATCCTCGTCTCTTTGGTGCGATGTAAGGGTATGTAGGTGGAATATATACATGGCCGGGGGTGCCCCCCCCCCCCCCCCCCGATAGCGAGCTGGTGGGTTTGCTCGAGGGGGGAGTCGGGGTTTGTGAGGCTGTACTGTCTGCAGATCTGGGGAGAGAGATCTAGAGAGAGGACGTGACTGTGCAGATGGTTTTTTTTGAATTTGTCTTCTCGCTGTGCGTCGGTCTGTTTATACAATAGAGGACAGGACAGCTACAGTGTTGACTCTACTATACTACTTGCACAGTTCCACTCATGTACTATATATACATACAAACAAAAGGAAAAGAGAAATAACCAAACACCCCCACCCCCTACCACCCATCCCCGCCCACCCACTGCCCCTGCCCCTCCTCCCCCCCCACCGCCGGCACCCACTCCGCCGGCACCTGCTCAAACTCGTCCTCATCATCCCCCAGCCCAATCCCGCCATGCTCCTTCCTCATATGCACATAGACGCCCGCCCTTGAGAACAGCCCCCCACACACCCAGCACATATGCACAAAGCACCGCTGGCACTGCACATGGTTGCACCCATCGACCTTCTCGATCACCGCGCCGCACCCCACCCCCGTGCACCGCTTCACGTCCCGCCCCGCCGCCCACTCGCCAAACAGCCGCTCGGCCTCGAACTCGCTGGCGAGCCGCCACTCTGCGCACTCGAGCCCGTCGTGGCTGGGCACGCCGCAGCGCGTGCACTGCTCGACCAGGCACTCGCCGCAGAGCGCGATGTCGCCCTCCTCGTCGGCCGTTGCGGGGAGCACGCCGGTGCAGTCGGCCGTCGAGCAGAAGTGAGCTCTGCTGGGTGCGTCAGGACGTGGTTGCTCCATGCGGCGGTGTGCAGCGTCGCGGGGATCACGGAGAGCGGGAGGGGAGAGCGGCAGGTGATGCAGGTGATGGGGAAGGAGCGCGTGCTCGGCGTGGAGGCAAGGAAGGCGGAGAGACAGTCGGCGCAGTAGGCGTGGCCGCATGTCGGTATTATCACGGCGTCTGTCGGCTCCGTTAGACACACCGGACACTCCCCTTCGCCCGCCTCTTCCGCCGGCGCTGGTGGCGGTGGCGGCGGTAGTGCGCCGAGATGCGCGAGGAGACGCTCTCGTGCCGCGATCCGCGCAGCGGGCGTGCCGTATGCCGCCAGCTGCCGCTTGTGCACATCGTAGTGGACATAGGCGCCCGTCTCAGTCTGTATTCCCCGCAGCACCCGGACACCCTCGGCGGTGAGCAGCCTGTCACTCCACAGCGGCACCCCGCCCGCGCCCGGGCTCGCCACAACCTCACCCGCCATGATCCCCGCGATGCGGCGCTTCGCATCACACACCGCTGCCCGGTCACACCCGCCCACCGTAACCGCCACATGCCCTCGGTCGCCCTCGCCGCCCTCCTGGAAGATCCCCACGCGCACAAACCTCCCCCACACCTCCCTCTTGAGCCTTTCCACCTCCCCCCCGACTGCCCCCCACACCCCGCGCGACGTCCGCAGCCGCGACTGGTACATAACCTTCACGCCCAGCTTCAAGCCCCCGCCAAGCGGGCTCTCGCTGTAACCAAACTCGAACGCCCGCCCATGCAGCTGCTCCGCCGCCTCGCGCGCCATCGTGCCGCTCCCCATGCGCACCACCACCCGCACGGTCGCGTCGGCCTCTGCCTGCCCGCTCACAACCTCGCTGCTGAGAACAACGCGGTGGTTGGTGCCCAGCAGCTTCCGCACGTGGCTGCCAATCTGGTTGGCGTCCTCTTTGTAGGACAATGGGCCGACCAGCACTTTGCTGCCTGCGGGCAGCTTGAGCCCGCGCATCACGTCGTGTGGGCTCGCGGAGGGGGGAGGCCGCTGACGTGGACGCCCCCGCAGTGGTAGCGGGTGCGGACGCGGCGCCCGCAGACGGTGCCTTCCTGTCTGGGGCGGGGGGCGCCGTGCGGGAGGGTGACGACGGCGCGGCGGCAGGGGGAGGGGTAGGTTACCAGGAGGGTGTCGGCGCGGTTTGAGGCGGTGCCGGGGGTGGGCGCTGCGACGGCGGTCATGCGGCCGTTGGCGTGGCGGGAGGCGTGGAGGGCTTGGAGGGCGGCGGGGAGGTGGTGCTGTGGGATGTGGGCGGAGGCGTGGGTGGGGGTGAGTTTGATGTTTTCGGGGGAGTAGGGGAGAGGAGGATGGAGAGGGCGGTGGGGGTGGTGGTGGTGGGGGTGAGGCCGTGGATGTGGAGGGTGGCGGGAAGGGTGGGGGTGGTGGAGAGGATGGAGAGGCCGGGGCCGAAGGTGATGGTGTGGTTTGCGAGGGTTGTGGTGAGGGTTGTTGGTGGTGGGGGGGGCGGGGAGAGCGGCGGTGTGGGAGGGTGTTTGTAGGGGCAGCGGGGGCGGCTGCAGTAGCCTGCGGCGGCGAAGCGGCAGGGGGGGATGAAGGGGGTGGCCGTGGGGCAGAGGGTGGAGGCGGAGGCGGAGGCAGAGGCGGGGGTGTGCAGGTAGGAGCAGGTGCTGCCGCGGTAGCAGCTGGAGCGGAGGTAGTATTTGCACGGTGTTTGCGACTTGGGAGACATTGTGGTGGATAACCGGTGGGGATTTACATCGACTATAGGTTTCGAGATGGAAAGATATGAGATATCGCAGGTAAGTAGATTTCGTATATGGTAGAGATAGCTCCTGTAGGTATGTCTGTATGTCCGTAGCTTGTAGTCTGTATCCTATAATCTATAGCTCATCGGTAGGTATGTAGCCTATATCTTGCAGTTCAGTATTTCAGTAGGACCGTCCGTAGATAGCTTGTAGCTTGTAGCTTGTAGCTCATAGATCCGCAGATTTCTGTCTTGTGTGCGCGTGGTGTTGAGTCGACGTTGACCACCCGTCGCTGCGTGGGATGCCTGAAACCGGCCAGATCACCCCACACATCCCACCACACATCCCACATCCACAAGTCCCGCATACATATGCACACACGCCATCAATGCAGCCGCCATGCTGGCTGCCTAAAACTTACGACTGGCCTGATCGGGCCGGGTGCATATGCACGATCGCCACGCCCCAACGGTTGTTGTTGTTGTTGTTGTGGCCGTGGTGCGGCTGTGGTGTGGCTGTGGTGTGGCTGTGGCTTGGCGGGTGAGTGATAGCTGGTGATGTGACCTGGACGGTCGGGTTGTGACAGGGTGTGACAGGGTTATGATAGGCGAGTGATGGGTTGTGATGGAGCCCTTACCCTGGATGTAGCAGTGATCGACGGGTAATGATTGATTGGTACTATTGGGGGCTAGGCAGAATAAATGTAGTGTAGGTGGTGGTAGCGGGGGTGGGATACGTTCATTGGCTTCTGCACGTCGGTTGTTGGGGTGCCGAGCTATTTGATGGGTGAGTGATGGGCCATGGTCGGCAGTGAGTGGTTACTTGATCGTGTATGTTCTATCGTAGGATGGCCGGCGCGAGGCTCTCACCTAGCTGATCCAAGCGCTCAAGGACCATACTATACTAGCTACATGTATGCATAGATACGCTGGGTCCTCATATATCTGAATGTTTGTAATTCAATCCCACCTAAACTCCTGTCACCGCACCCCCTTCCGCCACGCGAGGCTAGTGGGAATGTAACACATCTTTTAATTTCAGGCGCGTTGTGGGTCCTGGCTTCGGTCTTGGCGGACGAGTGATATCGTGTGATTACTCTGTGGGTTAGTCAAAGCGGACTTTATGGCTTACGGGCTAGCTACACCGGGCGTCAGAGGTTGGTTTGTGATTGTGGTGGACCTGCGTGCGGTTGTAATAGTTAAGTCATTGCTTGGTGGCGGTGGGGGCGGGGATGGAGGTGGTATAAATATAAAGGCCATCGTTGTCATCGCTTGATATCGGTCTGATCCCGGCACTTGCCTCTTCTAGAATCTAGATTCATGGGCCTAGTACTGTCTGCTACCTCTGTGGTCTTGATAAACGCTACTAGGGGGAAGAGGGCGTCTTATACTAATATATTCTCGGGCCCGGAGGTGGAATACGAAGGTGGCTGATACCATGCCGGTAGGATTGATAGATGATATCTATATCATACCAATGAAGTGCTGCATGCAGCGAGGAATGCGGTTGCTATATGGCTTCTATGGTTTCTATCGAACAGCCCCCCCCCCCCCCCAACTCCCCTCTCCCCAAACGCACATAAGGCATAACTGAAGCTGATCAGGCTGGTAACTGAAAGTGACGGCCCCCAACTATGTACACAAAGAGCCCGAGGGTAGCAACTACCCTCGACTACCACTGGCAGCCCGGAGGCTGTCGCCGCTGGCCTTGTGTTCGTGTATGTTCGCAGAAGAAATTGTCAGCAATAGTATATACGCGGGCTACATTGCGCGACAGAAGATGTTCCTTGATAAAGAAGGTAGTGTCAGGCTACTTATGGTACAATATCGCCCGTCGCTGTGTTCCGGGGGTCTTGCGACTATACTCGCTCCGAGGCCATCCGGCGATAAAACCGCTGGTACCACCACGAGGGGAGAAGACTATACCCTCTCAGACTCGTCCCACCCCACGTCCCTCCCCAGTCTTACCGGTACCGCGCCAGGCACAGTACGCAGCGGAGCACCGAGAAAGGCACACCGCAAGAGCCCGGGAACACCACACTTCTGGTACACGGAGTTATACATTGTCTTTCTGCTACCGGGGGTCCTCCTCAACAGCTTGATTCATAGGACTTAGCTAGTCGGCATAGGTGCCTATATATGCCAAGCTGTTAATTGTAGACTTCCGGGCCCGAAGTTATAAATGAGTTGTCTATGTGATCATTGTAGAGGGCTTATAATGTAAGCTACATGTATTACAAGGCTTCGATAGCCATGGGTACATTATATACTACAAGCCATGGCATGAGTTTAAACTAAAAAAAGGAAAAAAAGGACGTGGCTTCACAGCCGAGTGATAATTCATGACGAAGGCGACAATGAATTAATCTTCTTGCGAATATATCGCTAGTTACGGGCAACGGGGTTGATAGTTTACACATATAGAAACGAGGCGTTACAAAGTCCAGTTATCTCGGGTGTCTGAAATCAGAGAGTTTGGCAGGGGCCGGAGTTGGTACGGGAATAGTTTGTTGCTACATTGAGGTAGGTGAAAACTGATCATTCTTCTGCTACTCCCAGTATTTTTGGTCTATGTACTAACGATATAAAAGCAAGCGGTACTTACAAGTATCTCCGGCCGTGCGGTATCACCCAAATGAGGATGGAGTGGGCGGGCAAAAGGACAGGGGATCCATGAGAAACCTAACAATCATATTGTTGGGCATAGCACGCGGATATCAGAACTGTCTCTTTATCCTATTCGGCGTCTACTATACTCTAATATCACCATTGAATTCGAACGGCACTGTAGCCTCGGCTTCTCAACCTTAGCTTCATATTGCGCCTAATTGCTTATGGAATAAGCTCCACAACTATATACTGGAGCTGCGCTGCGCTTAGCAACGCCCTGAAGCTCAGGTATTAATTGTCATGCTTCTCTTGCTCTAGAATTCAAGGGTTCGAAGTCGGGCTCTCCTTTCAAATTAAGTAGAAGCCGGCATTCATAGTGCTTTACTGAACTTTGACCTAGAATTAAATGATGAAGTTAAGATAGCAGGATTCCTCACATACTTAACCTAGAATTTAGAAACTAAGAACAATTTACTGAAAGCAAACGGATAGCTGCTTGACGGTCCACATTCATACCTTGCTGCTGAGCACGATGATGATTCAGTGATGAGTGAGCAAATGCTGAGCGACTATGCCTGCTTAACCCTGAAGTAAACTTCAGGGCATATGATATATTACTGAGGATTGCGAAGACTTCATACACAAATACATGTACCTATCCCTTGGCCATGTTTGGTGGTGGCGTGACCTCGTAGCCGTCTAGTATTTTGTAGCTGCACCAAGCCCCGCCCGGAAGATGAGGAATAAACACAGGGCCAGGTTTAGATATCTGGGCAAATAATTTAGGGCAAGAAAAAAGGTTATATAAATAAAAATCCTCACGTCTGGATTCTATTCAATCCATTCAGTAATAGCAGAGGTTTAGCCGAGGTCTTTATTGGCCAACAAGGTTGGAATGGATTGAATTCGCTCCAGGAGCCGAATGCTCCCTGGGACTCGTTCGCATTCAAAAAAGGCTTAGGTTGAAGCCGTTGACATGGTTTTTTTTTTTGCAACCATCGACAAACTCTGCTATGACTAGACCGAATCTGTGAATTAAATCCACAATTCTCTTTTCGAAACCCTCACGTCTTGATAAATAATCTAATTGCGGATTGGTTAAATACGGAATGCTGGAATAGGCGAATGCAACACCAAAACCAAACATGAGTACTTACCTTTATTATCAACTTACATACCAACCCTAATCCTCGATCAGAGCACATACAGGTATGCATATCCCAGCCGGGCAATCGGATCCTAGTCGATGCAGGGCCTTAGAGGCGCATATGCGGGTAGACATTCGAGGATTTCGCCGCGTGGAAGAAACGACATAGGCCTATAGGGGCGATTGTAATAGGCTACTCATAATCGAGGTAGGAAGTACATGCCAGGCAGAGAGAACACCCATCCCCGAGGCCTCGTTAGGGACAGTTATCAACCCTAATATTAGTACAGTGGCTTCCCACAGTGATCTCCGAACACACCCAGCGATCGGACGAAACACCAGTAAGTTCAATCAGCAACTGCTCTGAGGGAAACCTCAACCCTAAAAGTACTATCCTTGCGGGGGTGCAGATAAAAGTCGGCCGGAGCTGCAAGAAAGCAGCGAAAGCTAACCAGAAGACTATGTTGCACTGCTGTACTTGGGAAAAAGATATATGTATGTACAACAAGACGTATGATATGGTATGATACGGTTCAAACTCCAGAAGACAAGAGTCATGAAATCAATTGTGTGAGGCTATCGTGATGGATTAAGGGTCTAGAAATCCATTATCTTACTCGGTGTGACTAGTCGCTTGGACTTCAATCTTGGTTTACAGACCTTATAAAACCATTTTGATCATTAGTACTTGAAACGATTCCGAAAACCACAAAGATGTTAAATTGTGTTGATGATGATGCACAATTGTACTGAATAATAGTAATAAGAAGAAACGAAAAAGAAGGAGAAGGAGAAGGACAAGCGGAGCGAACTGAGGTGTAAAGCGAAAGACAGGACAAGAGGCCCCATTTTTGGCTCCATCATGTGGAACCGAGCTCTTGACGAGTAGAAGCCCCCCTTCCTCCTGTTTGACATCCAGAATAATACAACGACAACAAATGAAATAATAAGGAAGAGAAAATTTGTTCTCCCAAGAGCATGCTATGGCTAAATACTGATACTTGACTCCATAAACCCCAAGGAGAAACATTACTCATGCTCAGATCTAATCTCAGAGCGCTCACCAAGTACAGCCAGGTATTGAACCGTCAGCGAACCATGGTAGATCATACCGCGTTGCTGATAGCGGCCAGAAGGGACAAGGCTGAGTCCATGTTGGAGGTTGCCGTGGCCCTAAATAACAAAAGAACAATTGTTAATCCCACTTCTCCCTGATACACAAGGGATA